CCCCAATCCCCCCTGGACCTCCTGAAACCACCACTGGCCTAAAACAACCGTCCAACAATCGCTGCTGCTTTAACCCACCGCCGCCGCAGGTCCCTGTGGACAAGTGCGGCTACTACGAGGACCGCCGCCCCGCATCAAACCTTGACCCCTACGTGGTGACTAAGCTGCTGGTGGAGACCACCCTGCTGCTGTGAGGGCGTGGCGACCTCGCAGCCGCGGCTGCCGCAAACGGCAAGACAGATCTGCCGCTGCCGCGGCTGCTGCTGAAAGCGAGCCCGTCCGGCCGCTGCTGCTGTGAAGGGCAGAGCCGGGGCAACACTTTTCAGTGCACTCTGCCACACCAAAAGTAGTGTGCAAATCAGGCAAGACCTCCTCATGCGGCCCCCTGCTGCGGGCAGCTCAGCTGGCCCCAGGGCCCCCGCTAGACCGCCCTGGAAGCGCCGGAGTTCGCAGCGAGTGCGTGCCTTTAGTGCCCGTGCGCGTCCGCACGCCCTACGCACGGGGAGGCGAGGTTTACTGAAGACCTGAGTCAGAATTTTGCGAATGCGGCGCGGCGATCGGGGAATGCATCGCAGCTGTCGTGCCGCCTGTGCTTACCGTGTCCGTGCGCGACTGCTGAGCACCGTTGCCAGGACTGTGTTGCGTGGAGTGCCCTGCACGCTCTTCCAGGCTCTGTGGATGTTTGTCTGGGTGCAGCTCTTTCGTACCGCATCGTACATGTGGGTGCTGTGTGTCTGTGTAAGTGCGAGGATGCTTGACCAGGGAAAGGCTGTCAATAATCTGCTTAAACGGCAGACCCCGGGGTTTCCTGGCTGCAATAAAGCAGTGTGCCAATGCTTGGGATGGGTGTGGCCCATGGGCCCAGCGGGCAGTCTTGACGGGCTGTCGCGGTTGCGCCCGCTTGAGGTGAAGCCACCAGGGCCTGAGCCGCGATCGCGATTGCTAACCCTGGCTGTGGCTTGCTTGCTGCTTGCTTTGCGCTCATCCACCACTTGCGCTGTGTGAGGGGGTCTATGCATACTGGCATCTGCCTACCAACAGCTGCCAGTGGCCTCCAGATGGCGTCCTCTAGGGTGCTGATCTTACAGCAGGCCCGTGTGCGGCCCATGCGGGGCCGTGCCACAGGCAGAAACCACATAGCCAAGGAGGAAGCTAGAAGACCGCGGCAGCAATGCCTGCGGTCGACCAAATGCAAGCGAGCGAGGCCGCCTGGCTGCCGCCCAGCCGCCTTCTGGAAGCTGGATGGCTGGAAGCGAGGCATGCACTCGGAGCCGGCTGCACGCCGGAGCTGGTTTCGCGTGACAAGAGCAGCCCGTTAAAACATGAAGTCTCATGGGTTGTGTTGATCCTGTACCACAAGCGGCCGCCACTCACTTTGCACAACCGGCGTGGTCCAGGGGACAACCCAAGACTGCGCTATCACGGCGAGCCCGTGATGCGTGGAGTGTGCTGCCTTATGCTCGCACTGTGCATGCGACTGGATACACCGCATCATAATTACTGCCAGGACGGCAGCCATGGATAATGGGAGGGCAGCCACACATGCGCACACCAGCTGCTTGCGGACGCAGCACCCGCACCCCTGGCTCACAGAGACGTGCTGACACCGCTGACAGAACGGGCCTCGCGGGGAATTCTGGCATCCCCAACAGATGAATTGTCCGTGCTCAGTCTGAAGCCGTCTAAAAGCCCTGCTACACTTGAGGTGCACCACACACAACAACAGCAGCAGCGCTGGGCCAACTTGCCCTACAGGTGTCCAGCTCCATCCACAATGCCTTGGCAGCTGTTGTGCTAAGCGTCTGTCGGGTCTTGCAAGGCCCTTTTCCGCTGCTCCTTTGGTGATCTAGCGTGTTTCAAGCTTTGCTGCCTGCGCAGTCTGTGGTTATTGGCTGGCGTGTGGCACCGCGCCGCTGCTCCCTGTGCGCCGTCCTCACCCTGCCCGCCCTCCACTGCGTCCCCCGTGATGATGCTGCCACCGCCGCCGTTGCCGCCGCCGTCGGCTATGTTATCGTTGTTATTGCCGCTGCCGCGAGGGAGGTGCTGCAGCTGCTGCGGCAAAAGGTTGTCACTGGCCTGCTGGCTCACAGCGCCTGCCGCCGCAACCTGTGACGGCTGCAGTATGGCCCCGCTGGAAATTGTGCTGGCCGGCTCAGTGGCGTGCTGCTGTGCCGTGCGTCCAACACCCTGTTGAGGGACATCTGGGTGGCCTTCTGACTGGCGCTGCGCGGTTCTTGCAGCCCGGCGAGCCTTCTGCTCCGCTGTGCGTTGCCTGACTATGTCGCGCCCGCGGTGCCGCCGCCGCTGCTGCTGCTCGAGCTGCTGCTGCTGCTGCTGCTGCTGCTGGATGGCTGCTGCAACCTCAGCATCTGAGCCGAAGGCTACCATCTGCATGATGTAATAGTATGCTTCGTCTCCATTGTCCGTGGCCGCCAGGATACGGTAGTTTGTGCCGGGTGCGTAGCGTAAGCCGCGCGCGCAGATAGTGTTGTGGAGAGATGTAATTGATATGCCGGTGGAGTCGTGAGCAGAACGGCGGTGTGAGCTCATTCTGGTTAGGACCGCAGAATGCATAGAGACCTTGTTGAGCACCCGCCAACTGAACGGCAACCACCACTTGACGGCAACATGCGGTCGATGAGTTGCCAGCAGGACGCGGCATGTGCATTGCGTCCAAAATTCTTCAAATATTTTAACACTGTACACACACGCACAGCACAGGTGTCAGATCACCTCTGAACAAGCCGTGGATGCAGGAAGATTGACCTTGCGCACAACAGTCAATTAGACCTCCTGGGCTGCGGGTCGCGGGGATGATTCGCTTCCTGCTGCTACAGAACCGGGCGGGCAAGACACGGCTAGCAAAGTATTATGTGCCTGTCTCGGATTCAGAAAAGCGTAAGCTGGAGTACGATGTGCACAGACTGATCGTGGTCAGGGACCCCAAGCACACAAACTTTGTCGAGGTGCGCGCGCTGCGATGGTCGCACCCTCCCCCGCGCCCAATCCACGACGGCGCTCGAGGCAGCCACGACCTTGCATGCAGGCACCCAGGAGCGCAGCGTTGCGACCTCAGTTGGTCTCATGCTATTGTCACGGGCGCGGCCGTAGTGGCGGTCCCTGCACCGTGCACCGCCATGCTCACGGCTGACCAGAACAGCTTTCGATTTGCAGGGCCCCCACCCGCTGACGACCCCGGCCCACTCAACCCCAGCATCCCCCATCCCTCAATCCCAGTTCAAGACATACAAGGTGGTTTACCGGCGATACGCGGGACTCTTCTTCTCGATAGGTGAGCGCACCTCTGCGACAATGCAGTGAGCACTCCCTCCAATGCAGCCCGCGCCTGATTAAATGCAGCGGGCTCCTGCCTGCGGCACAGCTGCAGGCCCATGCAATCCACCAGGCAGCGGCGCCGAGGACGCCCAGGCAGCTCACAAGGGGTGGCGCACGCGCACCCGCGGCAGGGCGACACACGGCGGCGCCGTGCCTCGAAACCCAGCGTGTCGCAGGCGCCTCGCGTCGCGCGATGCGTCCGCCCCATGCTCGCACGAACTGCGGTTTCGCGACCCGCGGCCTCCACTCGTGTGGCCGCCCGCCCGCCAGGCGTCGACGCGAGCGACAACGAGCTGGTGACACTGGAGACGGTGCATTTGTTTGTGGAGATCCTGGACCACTTCTTTTCAAATGTGTGCGAGCTGGACCTGGTGTTCAACTTCCACAAGGTGGTTTTCTCCTTCGGAATTCCCATGATTTTGGGATTTTTCTCTGATGGGTTGTTTGGCGGGGGACCTTAGAAGATTTGGACCACTGTTGCTCGTCATCTGGTTTAGGGCGGCCGCGCTTCATCCAGACTTGGCGCGAGCGAGGTGACAGACGGACCACTGGGGTGGTCACCCATTGACAAGCCAGGGCGAGGGAGTGCAGCTGGGCATGGTACTGTTTCTTCTTTCGAGGACGGAGGAGCAAGCTTTCCCTTTGCCGGGTGGGGTGAAGTTGGGTGGAAACGGGGGTTGGGAAGGGTTCAGGTGGGGTGGAGGCGCGTTCCAGGAAAGGGGCGGTTTGGGGACCGGCTGGTGCAACACTGGAATGAAGCCAGAAAATATGGGCCGCAGCCTGAACCAAACACTCGCGGCTCGATGTTACGAGCACCTTGCTCGCTCTCATCTCTCCCCCAGCACCCCTGCCGCCCCACGCACATGCACCCCCCTGTTTCACCCGACCAACCTCGGCGCGCGCCCCTCACTCCCGCCCTGAAGGTGTACCTGATTCTGGATGAGCTCATCATGGCGGGGGAGATGGAGGAGACCAGCAAGAAGGTGACCTGAGGGCTGAGTGGGGGCAGGGGCTGCCTGAGAAGCCGAGCAGCTGGGGGGGGGTCAAGGGGAGGGTACCAGGGTTCAGTGTGTGGGGTGTGCGAGGAGCGAGATGGTGGCGGGAGGGAGTTGAAAATCGCAGGCTCCTCGGGCGCTGGGGGTGTTCACCAGTGAGGGGCGATGCTCGCGCTTGTGGTGGAGCTAAACCGGGCCCGGAACTGCGGTTGGACCTGACCTGACCTGGTCTCACCCAACCTGGTGTGATCTGCTGCCCAGGTCATCCTGGAGCGGCTGGCTGAGCTGGAAAAGATAGACACCTGACAGCCCTGCAGCGCCAATACGCCCCTGTCACTGTCACGCTGGCGCCCGGTCCCGCCCAAGGGGCAAATGCAAAGGACGGGCTTGCCGCCGGCGCTGAGCGCGCGTGCCTGGCCCCAAGGCCATCCCTACATCTCAACTGGACCGCCCCCTGCCTTGTCCACGGTTGACTGCCTGCGCCCGCCCGGTTTCTTTGCCCCTTGGCCCTCGCCACGCGCTCATGCTGTCCGGTTGCCCCGGCGCTGACCCATTAACTCGCCTCGCCAGCACATACGGATGCATGCGGCCGGCAATGCTGATTGCCAGCCCGCCCCTGCGCCCGGCCCTGCGCACGCTGCGCGCTGCACTGTGCAGCTCCACAGGCACGCTCTGCATGTAACCTCTCAAACCTTAACCTGCAGCTGTGATGCGCAAAACGGGGCCGCAGCTTTTGCTAGTTGCTGGGTCAGATGGAGGCAGCTTCGCTGGAATCGAACGGGACGGCGGCCAGCGCCCTCCGGTCGTAGCCGTTGGGGCAACCCTCGCGTTTGCCGCTGACGGGGGCTTAGTGGTATTGTTGTCCTCGGATATGCCAATGACAAGGATGCAGGTAAGGTAAGCACCGCCTGTGATGCCGTTGCCCGCGTCGGGGTGCCGCAGCCCTGCCGCATCTGGCGCCGCGTCAGCACCGTTTGGGCCCATGCACAGGTGTCGACGCGCAACCCGCAAACAAGCCCGCCGTGCATGCGAATCTGAGCCCCCTTATGCACCCATGCGCGCTTCACGCCCTTGCCCCGGGGTACCTTGTATGCTGATGCAACCAGTTCAGCGAAGCGGTCATAGGCTTGCTGAGGCCCTTAGCCAACTCTGGCCGTGCTGCCAAGCGCGTGTGGACGCGCCGTGCGCTGTGCTGCACAACCTGCGGGCAGCGGTCCTTGTGATCCCTGACACAATGTACGTAAGCGCTGTCCGTGCAGCCCAAGGCATGCTGCCTTTGCCCGTTGACCCGATGACGATCGCCCCGCCATGGCTGCCGTGCATGCCATGCGCTGCTGAAGTTGGTTGCGCCGGTCTAGTGCCCGTGCTGCAGCAATGGCAGCAGCAGCAACAGCAGCGGTGGCGGCGATGACACCAACAGGCACAGCAGTAGCAGCAGCGGCGGCGGCGACAGCAGCATACACAGCAGCGGTAGCGACGGCGGCCGCAGCAGCAGCGACGGCGGCCGCAGCAGCAGTGGCAGCAGTGACAGCAGCAGCAGCAACAGCAGCCAGGGTGGGGGGCCGCTCGAGCTGCGGTACAAGCGTGCGCCGCTGTGCTGTCTGCGGCATTGGAACTTGCACTCCCGCAGCGCTCCTCGTTCAGCCGTCAGTGCACATGGGCCGGTTGATTGCGCGCCCCTGTGGGCGTCCACGTGCGGGCGCAAGGCGTGCTCTGGGAATTTCGGGACCAACCGGAGCAGCGGACGGGGGGTGAGTCCGGGAGCAAAGCGCTGATGGTGAGAACAACCGTCACGCGGGAGACATGACAATGGCTATCAATCTACAAAATGGGAAGGCAAGGGACACGTGTGGTTGATGGGACACATGGGCGGGAAGAGGGGCGCGCGCCTGTTGGGAGCATGACTCGCGCAAAAGAGGGCGCAGGGCAGTCGCAGCGCGGTGCACCATGACCCCACCAGAGGCGCCCTATTGCTGTGTACGGCACACCGATGCTGTTGCAACACCAAAGCCTAAATGCCATTGCGTTGATGACACAAGTTGCGGGGCAGAGGCGCATCGGACACGGCACCAGCCCCCAGCACTCACCCGGGAAGGGGGGAGAACGCTCTACCCCTTGCGCCACACCCAATGCCAAAAGAGCCAGCCGCCTCCCGCGACGCTCGTAAGTAGGTTTGGTTGCTTGTATAAGCAATATTTGCGGCATCTAGAGCTGTGTCACCCGCGGCAACATCAGTCGGACCCCAAGGCCCTTGCGCGTCCCGCTCACCAGCGCGCAGCCGCCCCTTCTGGGAGGAGATAACTTATATCGACGCCCATTCGGTGGCCTCGCAGCGGTCAGCCCGTGCGCACCATCGTCTGAGGGCACTCGGCGCGTCCTGGTGGGTACAAGGCAGCGCATATAGGGGAGTTATTTGTTGTTATGCAGGGATGTTGGCGGTCGGCGCACGCACGGGCGCTGCCCTTCGGAGCACTTCATGCATCACCTTGCTCTTGCCGGCCCTCTAACCCCCCACCCAGACGCCCCCTTAATATGCTGTCCGCCTTAAGCGGCAGCTGGGGTGAAGGCGTACCCATCCTGGAGGCAGCGCTCGACGGCGCCGGCGGCGACAGGGAGGCAGCATGGGGAGCCTGCATGCTGCAGCACCAGGGCCAGCAGCAGTATACCCAGGGCGCCGCGGCGCATCGGAGCGCTGACAATAGTACAATTGATGGCAGTGGCGGCTCTCGCGGCGCCGCGCCCGCGGGCAACGGCGCGGCGTCACGCCAGCGCTCAGCAATCAAGACATCAGCATTTCGCGGCGTGGCCGCGACGGACAATGGCACGTGGCGCGCTCGCATCAGATACGGCCGCTACACGGTGCACCTCGGCAGGTGGGGGCCCACTCCAGCTGCCCACCGCGCCGCCGGGCCCGCCACCGGGCGCGCACGCGCAGGCGCCGCGGCTCGCCACCCGGGCCGTCGCCGCCGCTGCCGCCGCTCTGGCGGCCCGGGTCGTGCGCCCGCGCCCGCCCGGGGCGCGCGCATGCACCCCCATGCCCCCGTCCCTTGGCCCCTCCCATGCCTGGCATGCCCTCCTCCCACTCTCATAGATTCCGAGACGAAGGCGAGGCGGCTGCCGCCTACGACCGCGCCGCGTTCCTGCTGCTCGGCCCCGGCGCCGTCCTGAACGCCGAGGGGCAGCAGCAGGACCCGTGCGCGCTGATGCACACCGCCATCGTGATCCAGCAGGTGCTCGGGGACAGCACGCCCGACGACGTGGTTGAGATGGCGGCGAGCGCCGCGTGGCGCGCCCCCGGCGGC